TTAAAAAATCTTGTAAAATTCGATTAATTTTTCAAAAGTTATTTGAGGAAGGGTAATTTCAATTTGCTTTTTAAACCTCGCGCTAAATGTGTAATAAAAATTTGCCGAATATTTGTATTTAGGTGTAAATAAATGTATATTGTATATGCTTAATTCGAAAATAACAAAGAAATTTTGATAAAATCTACCGTTTTGGAGTAACGACAATAGAATTTTGGACCCATTCGCGTTACCTCACGGCAGCCATTACTGGCGTTATTTGCATACATTCATTATCTGCTCATTAGATTTGTTGACTGAAGATTACATTGTTAATGCAATTTTACATGCAACAACCCAAACTTTATCTCTGAATTGTAACATACAACACTGAATAAAAGTATTAATTAAAAAACTATTTAATTAAAAAAAGGTTTTAATGGGTTTTATGAATAATAAGAACGTTTTTGTCTGAAGTCAAAATGTTTTTCGATGAAAAATGTGAAAAACTTGATAAATGCTTAAGTTTGAAACTTAATGACTCTGGAAATGCTCTTATTAAAAAAGTCTATTTTTACAGATCATGAATTAGAAAGATTATTACAATCTGTGTCATTAACCTATTTTTAAAATAATTTTATTTTTATTATACCAACATTTATGAAAAAAGTCATGTGTGCTCGAGTTATTTCACCTGATTGCGAGGAATCATTCCACATTATTGCTGAGCAACCATTAGCGTCTCATTTTCAAAATTTTTCTTAAAGAAATAAAATCTCATTTCATAAATGAGTTACCTGTTTCATTTATGAAATGTAATGGTATTTTATATTGTCTCAGTTAGTAAAAAAAATTCATAACTGAGACAATATAAAACTTAATTAAAAAAAAAATACGATAAAATTTTATAATAGGTGAACGTAACACTTATGTTACTCTTTTTTGTCTCTTATAAAATTTGAATTCTAAATGTATTTTTTCGTAGTTTAAATATTATTTTTATTTCAGAATTCTCCCTCAAACATAGAGTAGAAAAAAAAATTGAAGGTGTATTTTTTAAAATTTAACTCTAAGAACGCGGTTCACTTAAAATAAGCACAAATTTTGTCATTTCTGTCCTATAATCCGATAAATTCCCCTGACATAAGTTGTCGATACATTGATGTACGTCAATTCACACGTCCCCAAACCAATGACCACGGTTGAACATGTCTCTCTTCGAAAAATTTCTGCTAAAAAAGTAAGTAATGTTTCTTTCAAATTATATTAAATATACTTTAAATATTCTCATTTTCCTAAAATAACCTTTGAAAAAAAGTATAATTGAATTTTACAAGATTTTTAAAGGAAGAATTCCACTTTTGTTTACAAAACTGTCAAGTGTCAATAATGGCCGACATGATTGATTTTATGTAAATTTTGATGACTCAAAAAAAAACGATTTTTAGCTAAAATTTCGGACGTGTTAGAAAGATTAAAATTTTTTAAAAAGTACTCAAAAAGTACTTTAGTGTTTCCTCTCAATAATGACAAACATTTGGACAATAAAAAAAAATTAATTTAAGTTTGGGGCTGGTTGTTAGAGTATACGAAGAATTGATCGAGGAACGATCAATTCTTCGTATACTCTAACAACCAGTAAAAATGGAACTGGATGATTGAAGAGACTACAAAAGCCATAAAGCAGCTGAAGTTTGGCAAGTCAGCAGAAGTTGATGGGATCCCACCTGAAATCTGGAAGCATGGAGGTCCAGTGTTGCATATGAAACTCCACATGCTCTTTTGCTGTTGTTGGGAGCAGGGGAAAATGCCACAAGATCTCTGCGATGCAGTCATCAGTTCCCAGTACAAAGAAGGAAAATTTGATTGTTCCAATTACCGAGGAATTACTCTGCTCCATCACAGAAAAGATCCTTGCAAAGATTCTGCTGAATAGCCTGGTACCTGCCATCATGGAACTGCAACTTCAAGAGAGTCAGTTCGACTTCAGAATCAACAGGAACACAACAGACATGGTGTTTGTTCCCTGGCACCTGCAGGAGAAGTACAAAACAAGGGGCTGTATGTGGCATTCATTGATCCGATTCAAGACAGTGAGCAGAAGAGGAATGTGGCAGATCATGAGGTGACTCGGCTGTCTTCCAAAGTTCCTGAAAATGATCATCCAACTGCACGAGGATCAACATGGCCTAGTTAGACACAACTGCGATCTCTCACAGCCTTTCTCGATCACCAACAGTGTAAAGCAGGGTTGTGTTTTGGCACCGACGCTTTTCACGATATTCTTCAGCATGAAGCCATGAATGATCTTGATGATGAGGACAGAGTCTACATCAGAGACCGTCGTGATGGTGGCTTGTTTAATCTAATCTACAATGATTAAAAGCCCAGACAAAGACTCTGGTGCAACTTATCCAAGACCAGCTTTGCTGACGATGCTGCCCTTGTTGCCCACACAGAAGGGATTTTGCAACAGAAGACTTCCTGATTCACAGGCAGCCAAGCATTTTGGGCTTGAAGTCAGTTTAAAGAAGACTGATGTACTCTACCAGCCTGTGCCTCGGGATGAGTATCGCCCTCCCCACATGATCATTGGTGCAACTGAGCTGAAGGCAGTCCATCGGTTTACCTAATTTGGATATGCCGTCCTATCACTGGCAGATTGGTAGGGGCGAGCATTAGGTCACTAAGATCAGAGTGTATAGAGCTATCATCCTCGTCACTCTCCTATACGGCTCAGAGTCATGGGTCACCTACCTACACCACCTGCGACTCCTCGATTGGTTCCACCAGCACTGCCTCTGCACGATCCTTAACATTTACTGAAGTGACTTCGTCTCCAATATTGAAGTTCTTGAAAAGGCGAAGATCACCAGCATTGAGGCCATGCTGCTGAAGTCCCAGCTGCGCTGAGCTGGACATGTTTCCAGGATGGAGAATCATCGCCTGCCTAAAATTTTATTGTACAACGAGATCTCCACTAGCTATCATGGCAGAGGGCCATCAAAGAAGCGATTCAAAGATTGCCTGAAAAAATCCTTTGTTGCCTGTCACATTAATCATTACCAATGGTCAACCCTAGCTGAGAACCATAACGGCTGGCATCTCACCATCAACCATGCTGTCTCCTTTTTTGAAAATACCTGCAGGGCTGCTCTCAGGGACAAGAAATAGAGGAGGAAGTACTGTCATGCTGTGCCATTGAGCCCAGGTCAGACTATGGCTTCAAAGAAAGACACAACCGAGATGTTGATTATAACGTCATTCCCTGCTCTAACTACCTCTATATAATGAAATCAACCCCAAATATTGGTTTCATCAGCTTGAAGTGATATTTATCGCTCGGTGTCTTGCGTCTTAGTGGCATTATCAACTTTCTTTGATAAATTAATTAAAAAAGATAGGTTAATTCCCTTTTTGTTTTGCTTTTCAATATACCTATGAAATCTTTAATTACTAGCTATTTTAATTATTATATCTATATAAATAAATGCGAATGTCATTGTGTCACTGTGTCACACCTTTTCAACTTTCCTCCTAAAGGCCGTAGCTCAACATATCATACCATTTTGGAATCAGGCCAAATCCGTGAGCAAATTAAAAACATTCTGAGATGGATCTGGACCTGCAATCTTGAAATTTTGGATTTCTTAGTTTTCATTACTGTGATTGTTTTCGGTGATTTTTTTTTTACATGATTTTTTGCGATGATAACAATTTTTTTTGTACGATACAATTTTTATAATGTGGAAATAAATTTGGGAATAATTGAAATCCACCAAAAGTCAACCATGAAATAAAAATAAATATTTGTACATAAATTAAGGATCTATACACATAAATTATCTTTCAATTAAGTGGCAACAGAAGAATTATCATTGATCTTTTAAAAAGGTAAACTTAAATATTAATGCAATACTCAAATATAACGATCATTTTTTAGTTCTTCTGTATTTTATTGTTGCCTATCATATACGGCAGCAGTATACCTTGCAAAAAGAAATCTCCACTAACAGAGGACCAGATTGCAATCAAAAGAGCAAAGGCTGCAGCAAGGAAAAGAAAATCTTGTGCAAATGAGGGCCCAGATGAAACAGTAGCAGGAGAGCTTCCAATGCTGAGAATATGCCAAGTCTTAGGGACTCTCAAACTCCTGAACTAATTGAAAGCTCAATCAAGAGATCTTCACAGGAGCTAGCTAGCTTAAATGCTGCCCAATAGGACAGCTTTTCAACTAGTTCTGAATATTACTACAATATTTGCCATCCAAACTGTAGAATTTCTGTATAATTTCTCACAATGAAAATCATTAGAATTCCTTATACTAAGAAGCAATGTACATTACAGTCCAAAAGTTTGAAGTGACCCATGTTAATTTTTTAAATTGGCTCCCAAAAGTAATTGTTTTATACTTTACATAAGACAAAATTATAATACATAGTTAAAAAACAAGATACGATTTTTATTAGAAATTTTATTATGACAAAAAGAAAACAAAAGCATTTTATGATTAAATTTTGCTCTTGTCGAAATATCCCCCTTCAGCCTTGATAACTGCACCACAAATTTTTGGCATTCATTGCAAACGTTTCTCAAAGTATGAATCTGATAATTGATTCCATTCTTTTTTCAATGACTCTAAGAGCTCTTTTGCATTTTTGCTTTTACTCTTTTGTCAAGTTCATCACATGCTAATTCTGGGAGTGGCTTCAAACTTTTGAACTGTAGTGTATATTCAAACCAAAGGTAGGTTTGAACATCGTATGAAAATGAGTGGAAAAATTAATTTTATTAGGAGACCTTGAAGGGTTAATTATTTGATAAGAATCGAAAAAATGAATCCAATTATGTGAATAATGCAGAGTATGAAAAATTGAGAAAGTTTTAACTTTTTTTTTTTTCAGCTCCCAGTTTCCATAAAGAATTTTATTCCAAGAAACTCATATAAAGAAAATTATAAAGAATATAAAGAAAAAACAATATAAAGAAAAGTTAACGAGTTTCTTCTGGTGGCATCCATTATGGTAAATAATAATTGATATTATTAACAGATTGCAACAGTTATTAGGGAGATGTGATTCAATATAATTTAATGTTTAAAAAATTTATTCATTATTATTATTGTTTAGGTAATAAGCATTATGACATCACAAATAGCTATATTGTGGAAAAAGAAGTGAAGTTACCTGAAAATACAATTCAAGTACCAAGTTCAGTGATGTGTTTGCTAGATTAAAAGAAACACTTGAAAATATATCTAATGAAACAATTAACCATTGTATACCCCCCCAAAAGAAGCTATAAAATGGTTGAATTATATTATGAGGACATAAAAAAACTGAAGATGTATCTAAAGATATCTTCTTTGATTCCGATCTCTCTACTAATAACAATTCTGACTCTTCTGATTTTGAATTCGTTTCTATGATTTTAGGAATAGGAATTACTTTTATTTCTATTAATAAATTTAAAATTATACATTAATTACTAATTTTTTTTAATTAATAACTATTTGTCCTCAGTTGTTGACATTAATAATTATCTGCTGATGTGTTAAAATTTTGGAATAATGAAATAATAAAAATTTAAATTTCATCTCTCTGATAGATGTCGCAATCTGTAAATTGATTTATATTCTTGACCTTTATTGAACTCATTAATTTATCTTAATTCAGTGAGAAAAAATGATTCTTTTACAATGTATGTGCATATATATATATATATATATATATATATATATGATTAATACATTTGTTGTAAATTCTCAAGAACAAAAAAATGAATAAATTCACTTTTATCATATGCTTAGGTTTTATTATAATTCCAATCTTTTTTTTATGTGTCATGTCCTTTCAGGACATAGGCGATCATGGCTCTCCACCTCTTTCTTTCCCTTGCAGCTCTTAACAAGTTCCTTCCTTATGCTTCCTCCCCCAGACCACGCTTAAGGCCGCTAGTTATGTCACGTGTTGTTTACCCTTATCTCTCTTTCCCTCTGTCCGACCTGTGAGTATCAGATTCTCCAGGCTCTCCTTCCTCATTATGTGTCCCAGAAACTTCAGCTGCCTCTTCCTGGTGTTAAGTATAAGCCTGCTCCTTGTTTACATCCTCTCTAAGACTTCATCACATGCTCAATCCATGATATCCTTAGCATCCTTCTGTAGAATCATATCTCCAACACCTTGAGTCTCTTCTTTATTTGCTGCCCTAAAGAAGAACACATGTCACTAAAGAAATCCTCCTGTCTTGCAATACTCTGCTTAGCTTTTGGAATGCATCCTTGGCTATCCCAATATGTCTTTGGATCTCAGTGTCGCACTTACTGTCCTCTGTCAAAATGCTTCCCAGATATTTAAACTTCTGTGTCTGCTTGAATCTAGTGTTGCTGACTTTTAAATTGCATTTCAGGTTCATCCTTTTACTGATGACCATGCATTCCGTCTTCTTGTAGTTTGATGATTAGTCCTTTCTTCTCACTCTCTGTTGCTACCTTCTGTAGGAGATTTTGTAATTTCTTTTCCTTGTCTTTGATGTCCATGCTGATGCTTTCATTAAAAACATGATCCCAAATTCTGTCTGTCCATCCATGTGTCTGACCCCCGACCTCTAACTCAGGCCACACTTGCTCTACATAGACATATTATCCCTTATTAGAATCAGGACAACTGAAAGTCTGCCCTTCATCTGATGCTTGAACATCCAGCATTGAGATTTTGTGTCTGAATGAGGAAGGAACAGTCAAAAATTCAAATTTAATTTATATTAAGTGTAAAGTAACATAAAAACTTTGTGAATTTAAATACTTTTATCTTAAATTCAGTTTAAAATATCTTCAAAACTTTGTGAATTGAGGAAATCAATTTTATTTCTTCAAAATGCCAAGGAATCAGAGTTAAAATGAGAGATTTTGATGATTCCACAGAATTTATGATTTGAAGAACTCAACTCAATTGAAGTTTGTGATTGAAAGAACTCAATTTTCAACCTGAATTTGAATTTTAACCTCATGGGTATATTGATCTGAGTAACCTACAGGGAATTCTGAACTGCAGCCTTTATTTAATCTACAGGAGTAGATTGTCCCATTGCTCATTGCCCATCTATAGATATGGTCTAGTTGTTATTTTTATTTAATACTGCTCAGTTGTTGCTTGCCTGTTTTTGTTTAGTGCAAGTGCACATTGCCTGAGTCAGGCATTGAACTCACAATCACTATGTTACCAAGTGCACAAATCATAGGACAATTTGCTGTAGGGAACTTTGAGCCTTAAACCTAACCTGATTGCTGATTAGAGTTGCAACTGTAGCTGCTGCTGTCTGTTATGTGTGACTGCTGCTTCCCATGCTTTCATTGAAACCGTTGCTGAAGACTTACTGATATTTATCTTTCTTTTTTTATTAGCTGCTCCTATATAATATTTATTTCTGTACTAGGCCTACTAACGAGGTCCTCATGGACTAGCATGTGCATTGATTCTTTTAGATGTCTTACTCTCCACTGTTTTCCTTGTCCAGCATTTTCACTTCATTCCACAGGGTCTGATGCCTACCACTTTACCTTCATACATGATCATCCATGCCTGATTTCATTGTCTGACCCCTCACTGCACACAAGCAATAACTGAGCAGTACTAAATAAAAATAAAAACTACACGGTATTTCTAGACATAAGCAGTGGAACAAGAAAAGTCTACCCTCATAGATGAAATAAAGTGTTCAGTTCAGAATTCTCTATATGTTACTCAGATTGATATACACCTGATGAAGGCCGGAGGACATAACGGTCGAAACGTTGTGATAACAACAACAAAGATGAGGACAATAGTCTGAATATAAATAGTGTAAATAATGATAACTTGCCATCTCAGCAATTCAGATAGAATTTTGTCCCTTTCTCAACTGGAGAATGTCCAAGTGGAACAACCTGTGATAATTAACAATTTCAGTATTATGTCATCCTATTAATGATATAAAAATATTTTCTTGAGATATAATTTTTTCAAATTTGAGAAAAAAATTTAATTCTACACAACAAATGTAACCCTCTCCTCCTTGGATCTTTTCATCTCGTCTTCTTCCTCAGTTGTGAGCTCTGCTAGCATTGTTGTGTAACACCAACCTATGAGTCTTCCACTTTTCCTTTCTCTCTTCTCTTGAGGCTCGTATGTCATCTGACTGGGGTTGATTCAGGCTTAAATAATCTTATGATATTGGGATTGACAGTGAAGTTTAGTTATGCACTATGTATGTTGTGTACCACAGATCTGATTGTGTAATATTTGTTTGTAGCCATGACAAATTTTGTCTCTTTACATCCAAAGATGACATTGGAAATCAGAGCTGGAATAAGAACTACTACAATTGCACAACACTATTCTTAACTCTAGTAGCAGGTTTATTAAATATAAAAAATAAACTGGTGAAAAAAATGACTAAGTTCTCTTTGTGTCAGATGCTGATTTGAGAAATCTAGGTTCAATCACTATAAAATAGTTTGTATCTGTTTGTTCATTCAAACCACAGAAATGCATTTGTTTTCTTGTGAGGCTAAAGCAAATCTGTGATGACTCTATTTGTTGGGCTTGTTCCTCTGTGTGTCTGCAGGGCCTGGTGGGTTTTGTTTATATAAATGACCCTACCCCACTAAAGAAATGACATTGATATATCTAATTTCTCCATCCAAACTGTCTTAATAATAGGGGGGGTTTGTTAATAACCAAATGACATTCTCTTTGTTTTTGGCTGTTCTGTTGTTTCTTTTTCTAAAGACAGTGATGTTCTGGGAAGACAATATCAATATAAACAAACCCCAAAATTAAGATTTAGACATAACTATGATGGCTTATTCATTTTAAAAAATTTAGCTCATTCTTTTTTATAAGAATTACACATTTTCGATGGATTGTATAAATGTAAACACAGCCAAGTTCGGGATTTTAGGTATGACCCAGTTGCTTTCTTTTTTTTTTTTTGCTTAAAACAATTTGGATTATTTTTTTCTGTAATAATATACATATTTGATACAGATAGCATTAATGTAAACAAAACCCCAAATTTAGTTTTACAAGACCAAAGAATTCAAATTAGTCATGTCTTCTTATTGGATAGGGTGAGTAAACGTGGATTTGCTGAATTTTACTGAATCTTGGCTAGTAAATCCTGACTTTGATACCCTTTGGAATTATATTGAAATTCGTTTTATTGTTTAAAACATAATTGTAGCTCATTTCTATTTTTTATTTTTTTCTCAACCATTCAATCTAATTTTCTGAGAATTTTAATAACTATTATTTAATTAGTAGTCACTGAAAATAATCTTACAGTAATTTCATGCAATTAAATATTTGATGAGGTCGTGTGTCCTGTTACATAAATATAAAAATGCAATATTTTTTTTTATAGGACAAGTTCAAGAATGCAGTTGACTTGGTGTCAGTTGGTCTTGATGTTGTCAAACTATTCACAACAGCTGCTGCTAGTATTATGGAAGAAGAGCAGCAGACTCCGCATCAGAATCAAGGTGCTGACAACCAGGAAGCCAGTACAATTGTAATGTACCAAATGGTTATATCTATCAATTCTGTTTATCTTTCTATCTCAGTTCAGTCTGTTAATATCCATTTATCTATCTCAGACTGTTAACATCTATCTATCTATCTATCTATCTATCTATCTATCTATCTACATACATGTATGCAATTCATCTCAGAATACTAGATGGTCTGAATTAAATTTTGTGTCAATAATGAACCTTTGTTATAAGAATGGAAATCATAGCCGTATGCATCAGAGCATTGACCTAGAAGGTGTCCTCATAGCCACCAAGTGTAAATTTGCATCTCATGGCTGCTTCTGACAGGCAGCTGGCCAAACTGCACTTAGGATATGCACAAAATGGGACAACTAAATGACAAGAAGATATATTAGCATCCTACCCAAGAAGGAAAATACAGAGAGTGCCTCACATCCATGTGAGAATAAGATCCACATTTGAAGAAAGGACCTCAAACCACACACACACACACATATATGCTGTTGTTAATTGACCATGTCCAGAAGTGAGTAAATGATTATTTTACATATGAGAAATTTAGTCTTGTGTCCTTAATCATCTTTAAAATGAAACATTACAAACATATATATGTGTGTGTGTGTGTGTGTGTGTGTGTGTGCGAAAATTGTGTGTATATAAATATAAATAAATATTTATATATATATAATTATTTATATGTTATATGCGCAGTACTTATTAGAAAGTGCTCAATATCAGAGATAGAGCTAAAATATTTGGTTGGATAGATGTGAGTTTGTGACCCTGGGTTCCACGCTTTAGCGATTGTCAGACATTTTTAAAAAAATTGGGTTTATGTAGATTGCGTGTATTGGTGTTATTGTGGAAGTGGTGGGGGAAACTTCGTTGTTTTGTCATCGTACTAACGCAAACATTGATGTATGCAGACATATACATACTTGGTCGTCCGTCGGGACTCATAGGGTCACAAACTCACATCTATCCAACCAAATATATATATATATATATTGGATGTATTATTTTACCATTTATAGAAGTTTGGTTAAATGCCAGCAAGAATTATTTGTAAAAGATTTTTTTCTATATTTTGGGGGACATGTTCTTTGTTTCTAGTGAAAATTTATTCAAAATTACCTGATATCTGAGGACTTTTGGCTTTTATCAACCCATACCTAATCTCAAAATTCAGCATAAACTCTACATACAATTTCTGCAAAATCCTCAAAAACAATAAACTAAACAGTGGTATATTAGAATCATGGGACACCAAAAATCTGTTCATTAACATATCTGTTGGTGAAACAATGGATGACCTAAATAAAAACATCTCTAAATATGCAAAAATAAAACCAACAATTAATGAAAAACTAGTATTCGACTGTAGCATATAAATTCCCTTTTACAACCATTTAGAAAATATAAACACACTTTGGTATTATTATGGGGTCCACCCTTTTCTGATGTAAATGGACTCGTCCTGCTGCCATAAAATAGCTACAGACAGGCAGAGAGATAAGTTGTAGGAAGTCGTACCAGGTCGTACAGAAATCGTATGAAGTCGTAGTAAAGACCAGAGTGGAGAGTGTCGAATAGAGAAACAGAGTGAAAAGTACATAGACTGTATATAGCTATTTTTGATTTATACTAACCGTCGTTCCTGGATTTTACTAACCGCTTTACCTTTTTGTATTTGTGTAAATACATTAATTTCTTAACTAAAACACTTGCGTTTTTCATTTATTGGATACCTATTTTTCACGCGGGATCCACAACACCTTGGCGAATTCGAAACTCACGCGGAAAAGAAAAACTTTTTGTACGCCTAATCAACAACAACTTGGCCACAAAGATTCAAACCCAAGCGGAAAAGAAAAAGCATCAACAAAAGAAAAATCTCCCCTCGACGTTCAACAAGCAAATTGGCGTCGAAAGTGATTCAAATTTCTAAAAAAAAAAAAAAAAAAGAAAAAAAATAATCCTTACTTCGTCGTCCGTCAACAAATTAGCGACAAACAATTTCGAGGAGTAAAAATACAGAAAATTGAATTATGGAAGATTTTAAAAATATGTTGGTGGAACTAGTAAAGCACCAAAATGAGGAACAGTTACAGTTACAAGAAATATGGCAAAAGCAATTATTGCAAACGCAAAAGGAAAATCAAGATAGACAAACAGAGCTCCAGGAACTAATATTGAAAGTAGCAGGCAACAAGAAATTAGATATAGAAAAAGAAGTAACATTTTCGCAAGACACAGTGTCGAATACTATAGAGATTTTCAAATATTCTCTAGATGAGGACAAAAATTTTGGAGATTACTTCAGAAGACATGAAGACATCTTTAACATAAACTGTCAAAATTGGACATACGCTAAGAAGCTACATCTATTGCTTAGAAAATTAGGAACTGAAGAATATACAAAGTTTGTGGATTATATCTTGCCAAAAAAGACGAACGAATTAAAGTTTGATGAAGCAGTGACATGTCTTAAAGAACTCTTCAGCCCCAAAACATCACTCTTCCATAGGAGGTGGAAATGCCTTAACCTGGTAAAGGGCGATAATGAGGATTATTCCACGTTTGCCGCAATAGTAAATAAACATTGTGACGACTTCAAACTAGCGGAATTAACACCGGACAATTTTAAATGTCTCATCTTTGTTCAAGGGCGAGTTTCTACAAAAGACAGCAAAATGCATAGAAGAATGCTTGCGAAATTACAAAATGAACCGGGTCTAACATTACAACAATTATCAGAAGATTGCCAGAGATGTTTAAGCATTAAGAAAGACGCAAAGGACATTGAAGAATCAGTTGTTTCTCATATACGTAAGTTAAACAAAAGTCTACGTTCTTCACCCTCCCCGGAAAGAAAACTAAAATTTTACGACAATGAAAAAAGATTCTCACCCTCCCCGGAAAGAAAAATAAAATATTATAAGAGAAAAACTACAACATACAGGACAAATTATGACAAATATCGAAACAAATATAAGCCCCCTCCATCAGCATGTTATCGATGTGGAGGATTACATTGGAACAAGGATTGCCGTTTCAGATATAAAAACTGTCATGAATGTGGAAAAAAAGGCCACAAGGGATCCCAATGCAGAAATAGAAATTATACTAATAGAATAAGAGCTACAAGGATGAATAATGATGACAACACCAGTGTAAGGAAATATGTAGAACTGGAAATTTTAAACAAAAAGATTAAACTGCAACTGGATTCGGGTTCCGACCTCACGATAATCAACTTACAGACATGGAAAAAATTCAATAGACCTACGATGTTACACACTCAAAAAATTGCCAAATCGGTTACAGGCAAACGAATAAAATTTGAGAGAGAAATAATAGTGAATGTAAAATTTCACGGCAAAACAAAAAAACTGAAGATATACGTCATGAAAGATACTGAAAACTTAGTAGGTATCGACTGGATGCAGAAATTCAATGTTTGGGACCTACCTATTAACTCGTTTTGCAAAAAGTTAGAGGTTGAACAATCCGATACTATAAAATTGAAGGAGGAATTATATAATCAATTTCCTGAGGTATTTTCAAGCCGGGTTGGGACGATGCAACAAATTTAAGGCCAAAATAGAATTGAAAGAAAACGTCCAACCAATTTTTTTTAGAAAAAAGCGAAATGTCCCGTTTGCTACGATAGAAAAAAATAGACAAAGAATTGGAGAGACTTGAACAAACTGGGATTCTGTCAAAAAACAGAGTTTAGTGAGTGGGCTGCGCCGGTGGTTTACGTTAAAAAGAAGTCGGGAGAAATTCGCGTAGGCTCAGATTTTTCGACAGGACTCAACAAGGCAATAAAGGACCACCATTACCCACTACCGAGCCCGGAGGAGATATTTACAAAGCTCAACGGCGGTAAGATATTTTCAAAAATAGATCTTAGTGAGGCTTATCTACAAATTCCAGTACAAGAGAGTTCAAAAATCCTTTGCATTAATATGCACAAAGGGCTGTACAAGTTTAACAGACTGCCATTCGGAATAAAAGTTGCACCTGCAATTTTTCAGCAAACAATGGACACAATGCTCACTGGCCAGAATTTCGCGACCGCTTATCTGGATGATATTTTAATCAAGAGCGACAATGCTGAAGAGCACAAATCACACATAAAGGAAGTTTTTAGAAGACGTCAGGACTTCGGCTTTAAAATAAAAGGAGAAAAGTGTGACTTCTTCCTAAACGAAATAAAATATTTAGGTCAAATAATAAATGAAAATGGCAGGAAACCAGACCCAGAGAGGGCATCGGCAATCAAAAATATGCCGGAACCAAAAAATATTGCAGAACTGCAAAGTTTCCTGGGCCTAGCTAATTACTATGGTGAATTCATTGAGAATATGCATAAACTGAGGGATCCATTAAATGAGTTACTAAAAAAGGAGCATAACTGGAATTGGACAGAGGACTGTAAAAAAGCGTTCAAAGAAATAATACAGAAATTAATGTCAGAGTTAACACTGACACATTTTAATCCCGAACTTGAAATAATTATTGCAAGTGACGCGAGCTGACATGGGGTAGGTGCGTGTATTTTACACAAGATGCCGAACAGTACAAACAAACCCATGGCACACGTATCTAGATCATTATTACCGGCGGAAAGAAATTATTCACAGATCGAAAAGGAGGCATTAGGCATAATTTTTGCAGTAACTCGTTTTCATAGATATATATATGGGAGAGAGTTCACACTTCAAACGGACCACAAACCACTCCTTACGATATTTGGTTCGAAAAAAGGCCTACCAGTCTACACAGCAAACAGACTTCTAATATGGGGAACTGTATTACTTAATTATAATTCTAAACTGCAATTCTTACCATCAAAGAAAATAGGACACACTGACAGACTATCGCGATTAATACCTACAAAAAGCGAACCGTTAGAAGAGTCGATAATTGCCGCATTACAAGCAGAAGAGGAAATCAACAAAGTACTAGACAATACAATAAAGGGACTACCTGTAATGCTGCTAGAAATAAGACGAGAAGCAGAAAGAGACGACTTTATTCAGGAGACCAAGAAAAAAATAGAAGACAAAATGAAGAAGTTAGCAGACAGTTTCTCAATATGTGACAACATATTGCTGTATAACGAGAGAGTTGTTATATCAAAATCACCACAAAGAAGGATCTTAAAAGATTTTCACTTAGGACACCCCGGAAAAAAACGGATGAAATCACTCATGAGAAGTTTTGTATACTGGTCGAACATGGACGAGGATATCACGCAAATGGTGAAAAGTTACAAAGGGTTGTACAAGTCCAACAGAATACCATACGGAATAAAATTTGCACCTGCAATTTTTCAACAAACAAAAGACAAAATATTAACTCCCCACAAAATGGGATTTAAGGAGGGGGGTATTATGGGGTCCACCCTTTTCTGATAAATGGACTCGTCCTGCTGTCATAAAATAGCTACAGACAGGCAGAGAGGGAAGTCGTACAGAAGTGGTACAAAGGTCAAATTAAGTCGTAAAAAGAGACCATGCAACGATTAGTAAAGACCAGCATTTGGGGATGTGTCAGTAGAGAAACCTTTTGAAAAGTACATAAACTGTATATAGCTATTTTTGATCTATACTAACCGTCGTTCCTGGATTTTACTAACCGAATTACCTTTTTGTATTTGTGTAAATACATTAATTTCTTAACTAAAACACTTGCGTTTGTCATTTATTGGATACCTATTTTTCACGCGGGATCCACAACAGGTATCCTCTATTGTTTTAGCAATATCAGAATGTTACATATTAACTCTAGAGAAATGAAAAAAGGAACACCCTAAATCCAGCAGAGTCTATGTCTGCTACTTTGATGACATAACATCCACTGCAACTGTCTTAATAATAGGGGGTTTGTTAATAACCAAATGACATTCTCTTTGTTTTTGGCTGTTCTGTCATTTCTTTTTCTAAAGATAATGATGATTTGGCAAGGCAACATCAATATAGACAAACTCCAAAATTGAGATTTAGACATAACTAAGATGGCTTATTAATTTAAAAAAAACTTGGCTCATTCTTTTTTATAAGAATTACACATTTTCGGTGGATTGTATAAATGTAAACACAGCCAAGTTCGGGATTTTAGGTATGACCCAGTTGCTTTCTTTTTTTTTTTTGCTTAAAACAATTTGGATTATATTTTTCTGTAATAATATACATGTTTGATACAGATAGCATTAATGTAAACAAAACCCCAAATTTAGTTTTACAAGACCAAAGAATTCAAATTAGTCATGTCTTCTTCTTATTGGACAGGGTGAGTAAACGTGGATTTGCTGAATTTTACTGAATCTTGGCTAGTAAATCCTGACTTTGATACCCTTTGGAATTATATTGAAATTCATTTTATTGTTTAAAACATAATTGTAGCTCATTTCTATTTTTTATTTTTTTCTCAACCATTCAATCTACATTTCTGAGAATTTTAATAACTATTATCTAATTAGTAGTCCCTGAAAATAATCTTACAGTAATTTCATGCAATTAAATATTTGATGAGGTCGTGTGTCCTGTTACATAAATATAAAAATGCAATATTTTTTTTTTAAAGGACAAGTTGAAGGATACAGTTGAAATGGTGTCAGCTGGTCTTGATGTTGTCAAACTATTCACAACAGCTGCTGCTAGTATTATGGAAGAAGAGCAGCAGACTCTGCATCAGAATCAAGGTGCTGACAACCAGGAAGCCAGTACAATTGTAATGTACCAAATGGTTATATCTATCAATTCTGTTTATCTTTCTATCTCAGTTCAGTCTGTTAATATCCATTTATCTATCTCAGACTGTTAACATCTATCTATCTATCTATCTATCTATCTATCTATCTATCTACATACATGTATGCAATTCATCTCAGAATACTAGATGGTCTGAATTAAATTTTGTGTCAATAATGAACCTTTGTTATAAGAATAAAATCATAGCCGTATGCATCAGAGCATTGACCTAGAAGGTGTCCTCATAGCCACCAAGTTAAATTTGCATCTCATGGCTGCTTCTGACAGGCAGCTGGCCAAACTGCACTTAGGATATGCACAAAAATGGGACAACTAAATGACAAGAAGATATATTAGCATCCTACCCAAGAAGGAAAATACAGTGTGTGTGCCTCACATCCATGTGAGAATAAGATCCACATTTGAAGAAAGGACCTCAAACCACACACACACATATATATTTATGTTGTTAATTGACCATGTCCAGAAGTGAGTAAATGATTATTTTACATATGAGAAATTTAGTCTTGTGTCCTTAATCATCTTTAAAATGAAACATTACAAACATATATATGTGTGTGTGTGTGTGTGTGTGTGTGTGTGCGAAAATTGTGTGTATATAAATATAAATAAATATTTATATATATATAATTATTTATATGTTATATGCGCAGTACTTATTAGAAAGTGCTCAATATCAGAGATAGAGCTAAAATATTTGGTTGGATAGATGTGAGTTTTGACCCTGGGTTCCACGCTTTAGCGATTGTCAGACATTTTTAAAAAATTGGGTTTATGTAGATTCGTGTATTGATGTTATTGTGGAAGTGGTGGGGAAACGTTTTTTTGTCATCGTATTAAGCAAACATTGATGTATGCAGACATATACATACTTGGTCGTCCGTCGGGACTCATAGGGTCACAAACTCACATCTATCCAACCAAATATATATATATATATATTGGATGTATTATTTTACCATTTATAGAAGTTTGGTTAAATGCCAGCAAGAATTATTTGTAAAAGATTTTTTTCTATATTTTGGGGGACATGTTCTTTGTTTCTAGTGAAAATTTATTCAAAATTACCTGATATCTGAGGACTTTTGGCTTTTATCAACCCATACCTAATCTCAAAATTCAGCATAAACTCTACATACAATTTCTTGAAAATCCTCAAAAACAATAAACTAAACAGTGGTATATTAGAATCATGGGACACCAAAAATCTGTTCATTAACATATCTGTTGGTGAAACAATGGATGACCTAAATAAAAACATCTCTAAATATGCAAAAATAAAACCAACAATTAATGAAAAACTAGTATTCGACTGTAGCATATAAATTCCCTTTTACAACCATTTAGAAAATATAAACACACTTTGGTATCCTCTATTGTTTTAGCAATATCTGATTTTACATATTAACTCTAGAGAAATGAAAAAAGGAACACCCTAAACCAGCAGAGTCTATGTCTGCTACGTTGATGACATATTCATGTTACCTAACAATATGAACAAAGACAAAAATCAAAGAACAAACTTTAAAAATAACTAATTCCTTAATTTTATATATGAACTTAACATGAATAATGTTTTCTCCTTAGAGATATTTTAAAAATCCACCATCTATATACCTCCAGCCAACTTGAATCCATTCCTTTTTATCTACAACTGTGAATATCACACAGATACGAAGCAGCCATCATATTATTATTCTAATTGTTCCTCCATTAGTTTGTAAGTTAGCATATACATTATTCTGTAATAGCTTGTCTGTTTTCTGATTGTAAAGTCTTCGTATAACAGAGGCAAACAGAATAAGACTCACCATTTTAACAGAGGCAAACAGAATAAGACTCTCACTATTTTGTTTACTTCTGGCTAGCCACACTTTGCAGTATGTCTTACATATTTAAATGATGACCAGCAATTGAACTTATGATTGTTATAGGAATAATTTGGCTACTTCTTTTTCTCCATTAGACTCTTTCTATTTTTTCATTCCTCACATCTCTTTTTCTTTCTCCTTCACTTTCTCTATTTGTCCCATTGTCTTTCTCTTCCTACATTTATCATTTGTTGCATTTTCTTTCTTTTTCTCTATTTGTCCCATTCTCTCTCTCCATTTGTTGCACAGTCTTTCAATTACTCATTTATCTATTTCTTTTTCTTTATTTGTCACTTTCTTTTGCTCATTCTTTTGTCTCATTCTTTTTCTCTTTCTTTATTTGTCTCATTCTTTTTCTCTTTCTGTATTTGTCTCATTCTTTTTCTCTTTCATTATTTGTCTCATTCTTTTTCTCTTTCTGTATTTGTCTCATTCTTTTTCTCTTTCATTATTTGTCTCATTCTTTTTCTCTTTCATTATTTGTATCATTCTTTTTCTCTTTCTTCATTTGTATCATTCTTTTTCTCTTTCTGTATTTGTTTCATTCTTTTTTTTCTTTCTTTATTTGTTTTCTCATTCTTTTTTTGTCTAATTTCTGTATTTGTCTCATTCTCTTTCATTATTTGTCTCATTCTTTTTTTCATTATTTGTCTCATTCTTTTTCTCTTTCATTATTTGTCTCATTCTTTTTCTCTTTCATTATTTGTCTCATTCTTTTTCTCTTTCATTATTTGTCTCATTCTTTTACTCTTTCATTATTTGTCTCATTCTTTTTCTCTTTCATTATTTGTCTCATTCTTTTTCTCTTTCATTATTTGTCTCATTCTTTTACTCTTTCTGTATTTGTCTCATTCTTTTTCTCTTTCATTATTTGTCTCATTCTTTTTCTCTTTCATTATTTGTCTCATTCTTTTTCTCTTTCTTTTATTTGTCTCATTCTTTTTTCTCTTTTTCATTATTTGTCTCATTTTTTTTACTCTTTTCATTATTTTTCTCATTTTTCTTTTCTCTTTCATTATTTTTTCTTTCATTATTTTTCATTCTTTTTCTCTTTCATTATTTGTCTCATTCTTTTTTTTCTTTTTCATTCTTTTTCTCTTTCATTTTTTCTCTTTCTTTTTTCTTTCATTATTTCTTCATTTTACTCTTTTTATTCTTCTCATTCTTTATCTTTCATTATTTTCTCATTCTTTTCTCTTTCATTATTTGTCTCATTCTTTTACTCTTTCATTATTTGTCTCATTCTTTTTCTTTCATTATTTGTCTCATTCTTTTCTCTTTCTTTATTTGTCTCATTCTTTTACTCTTTCTGTATTTGTCTCATTCTTTTTCTCTTTCATTATTTGTCTCATTCTTTTTCTCTTTCATTATTTGTCTCATTCTTTTTCTCTTTCATTATTTGTCTCATTCTTTTACTCTTTCTGTATTTGTCTCATTCTTTTTCTCTTTCATTCATTTTTTTCTTTCTTTTTCTCATTCTTTTTTTCTTTTCATTTTTTTCATTATTTTTCTTTTTTTCATTTTTTTTTCTTTTTCTCTTTCTTTTCTCATTCTTTTTTTCTTTTCTTTCTGTATTTGTCTCATTCTTTTTTTCTTTTTTTTATTTGTCTCATTCTTTTTTCTTTTCATTTTTGTCTTTTTCTTTTTCTTTCATTATTTGTCTTTTTTTTTTTTTTTCTCTTTCTTTATTTTTTCATTTTTTTTTTTTTTTTTTTATTTGTCTCATTCTTTTTTTTTCTTTTTTTTATTTTTTTCTCATTCTTTTTTTCTTTTCATTATTTTTCTCATTCTTTTCTCTTTCTTTATTTGTCTCATTCTTTTTACTCTTTCTATTTGTCTCATTTTTTTTTTCATTATTTGTCTCATTTTTTTCTCTTTCATTTTTGTCTCATTCTTTTTCTCTTTCATTATTTTTCATTCTTTTTTTTTTTTCTTCATTTTAATTCATTTCTTTTCATTATTTTTCATTATTTGTCTCATTCTTTTTCTCTTTTTTTCTCTTTTTTATTCTCTCATTCTTTTTTTTCTCTTTCATTTCTTTCTTTTTTTTAATTTTTCTTTTCTCTTTCTTTTATTTTTTTGTTATTTCTTTTTCTCTTTCTTTCTTTTGTCTCATTCTTTTTCTCTTTCTGTATTTTTCTCATTCTTTTTCTCTTGAATTTTTTCTTATTTTTTCTCTTTTTTTTTTTTTCTCATTCTCATTCTCTTTCTTTTTTTGTATTCATCTTTTTTTTTTCTCTAAATTGTCTCATTCTTTTCTCTTTCTTCTTTTTTTCTCATTCTTTTTCTCTTTCATCTTTTCTTTTCATTTTTTTTCTCTTTCTTTTTTACAAATTTCTCTTTTTCTCTTTCATATTTTGTCTCATTTTTTTCTCTTTCTGTATTTTTCTTTTCTTTTTCTCTTTCATTATTTGTCTCATTTTTTCTCTTTCTTCATTTTTCTTCTTTTTCTCTTTCATTATTTGTCTTTTTCTTTTCTCTTTCTAAAAAAATTTTTTGTATTTCTTTTTTTCTCTTTTTCATTATTTTGTTCTTTTCTTTTTCTCTTTCATCATGTTTTCTCATTCTTTTTCTTTTCATTATTTTTCATTCTTTTTCTCTTTCTTTATTTGTCTCATTCTTTTTCTCTTTTTGTATTTGTCTCTTTCATTTTTTTTCTCTTTCTTCATTTGTCTCATTCTTTTTCTCTTTTTTATTTGTCTCATTCATTCTTTTCTCTTTCTTCTTTTTGTCTCTCTTCTTTTCTTTTTTTCATTATTTGTCTCTCATCTTTTTTTTTCTCTTTCTCTTTTTGTCTCATTCTTTTCTCTTTCATTATTTTTCTCATTCTTTTCTCTTTCTTTTTTTTTCTTCATTTTTCTCATTCTTTTCTTTTTCTTTTTTTTCTTTCTTTTCTCTTTTCTGTATTTTGTCTCATTCTTTTTCTCTTTCTGTATTTGTCTCATTCTTTTTCTCTTTCATTATTTGTCTCATTCTTTCTCTTTTCATTATTTGTTTCATTCTTTTTTTCTTTTTTATTTGTCTCATTCTTTTTCTTAAAAATTATTTGTCTCATTCTTTTTCTCTTTTTCTTATTTGTCTCATTCTTTTCTCTTTCATTATTTGTCTCATTTTTTTTCTTTTTCATTTCTTTTTCTTTTTCTCAAAAAATTTTTTTCTCTTTCATTTATTCTTCTCATTTTTTTCTTTCATTATTTGTCTCATTTTTTTCTCTTTCATTATTTGTCTCATTTTTTTCTTTTTTTATTTTTCTCATTCTTTTTCTCTTTCATTATTTGTCTCATTCTTTTTTTTTTCTTTATTTGTCTCATTCTTTTTTCTCTTTCATTATTTGTCTCATTCTTTTTTTCTTTCATTATTTGTCTCATTCTTTTTCTCTTTTTCTTATTTGTCTCATTCTTTTCTTTTTCATTTTCTTCATTTTTTGTCTTTTCATTTTTTTTCTCTTTTTTTATTTTATCTCATTCTTATTCTGTTTTTCTCTTTCTTTATTTTTTTTCTCATTTTTTTCTTTTTCATTTGTCTCATTCTTTTTCTCTTTCATTATTTGTCTCATTCTTTTTCTCTTTCATTATTTTCTCATTCTTTGGGAAAGCAACCTTCATTTGTCTAATTATTTTCTCTTTCATTATTTGTCTCATTCTCATTTTTTTTTTTTCATTCTTATTTGTCTCATTCTTTTTCTCTTCTTTTCATTTATTTGTATTTTTTTTTCTCTCATTGTATTTGTCTCATTCTTTTTCTCTTTCTTATTTGTCTCATTCTTTTTCTCTTTCATTATTTGTCTCATTCTTTTTCTCTTTCTGTATTTGTCTCATTCTTTTTCTCTTTCATTATTTGTCTCATTCTTTTTCTCTTTTCTTAATTTTTTTTTTTTATTTTCTTTTTTTTTCTCTTTCATTATTTGTCTATTTTCTTTTCTCTTTCTTCATTTGTTTCATTCTTTTCAAAAAAAAATTGTCTCATTCTTTTCTCTTTCATTATTTGTTCTCATTCTTTTCTCTTTTATTTGTCTCATTCTTTTTTCTTTTTCATTATTTGTCTCATATTTTTTTTTCTTTCTTATATTTGTCTCATTCTTTTTTTTATTCTTAAAAAAATAAATTTTTCTCATTCTTTTTTCTCTTTTATTTATTCTTCATTTTTTTTTAAATCTCATTCTTTCTCTCATTGTTTTGTCTCTTTCTTTTCTTTCTCTTTCATTCTTTTCTCTTTCTTAATTTGTTCATCTTTTTCTCTTTCTTCATTTTTTCATTTTCTCATTCTTTTCTCTTTCTTATTTGTCTCATTTTTTTCTCTTTCATTATTTGTCTCATTCTTTTCTCTTTCATTTTTTTCTCATTCTTTTTCTTTCTTTATTTTTTTTTTTTTTTTTCTTTTCTCTTTCTGTATTTGTCTCATTCTTTTCTCTTTCATTATTTGTTTCATTTATTTTTCTCTATTCTTTTCTCTCTTATTTTTTTTCTTTTCTTTTTTTTTTAAAATTCTTTTCTCTTTCATTATTTGTCTCATTCTTTTCTCTTTCATTTTTTTCATCATTTTTTTCTCTTTCTTATTTGTCTCATTCTTTTTCTCTTTCTGTATTTGTCTCATTCTTTTTCTCTTTCATTATTTGTCTCATTCTTTTTCTCTTTCTGTATTTGTCTCATTCTTTTTCTCTTTCTGTATTTGTCTCATTCTTTTTCTCTTTCATTATTTGTCTTTTCTCTTTTTTTCTCTTTTTTATTTTCTCTTTCTTTTTTTTTCATTATTTGTCTCATTCTTTTTCTTTTCTTTTGTTTTCTCTTATTTTTCTCTTTTCTGTATTTGTCTCATTCTTTTCTCTTTCATTATTTGTCTCATTCTTTTTCTTTCTTTATTTGTTTATTTTTTTTTTCTTTCTGTATTTGTCTCATTCTTTTTCTCTTTCATTATTTGTCTCATTCTTTTCTCTCTTTCTGTATTTGTCTCATTCTTTTTTCTCTTTCATTATTTTTTCTCATTCTTTTTTTTCTCTTATTTGTCTCTTTCTTTTTTCTCTCATTGTTGTCACATTCTTTTTCTTTTTATTTTCTGTATTTGTCTCATTCTTTTCTCTTTCATTATTTGTCTCATTCTTTTTTCTCTTTCTGTATTTGTCTCATTTCTTTTTTCTCTTTCATTATTTAAAATTCATTCTTTTTTCTTTTTTTTTTTTTTCATTCTTTTTCTTTTCTTTATTTGTCTCATTCTTTTTTTTTCTCTTTCTGTTCTTTTCTTTTTCTTTTTTTTTTATTTTTTTATTTTCTCTTTCTTTTTTCTTTCTTTATTTTTTTCTTTTTTTTTTTTTCTTTTTTTTTATTTTTCTCATTTTTTTTTCTCTTTCTTATTTGTCTCTTTTTTTTTCTTTTTTTTTCACATCTCTTTTTCTTTTCTTTATTTGTCTCATTTTTTTCTCTTTTTTCTTTCATTTTATCTCATTCTTTTCTCTTTTTCTTTTTATTTTATCATTTCTTTTTCTCTTTTCTTATTTGTTTCATTTTTTTTCTTTTTCTATTTTTTTAATTCTTTTTTCTTAAATTATTTTTCTCATTTCTTTTCTCCTTTTTCTTTCTTTTTTCTTTTTTTTCTTTCTTTTTGTCTTTTTCTTTTCTCTTTTTTTATCATTTTTCTTTTCTCTTTTCTTCATTTGTCTCATTCTTTTTTTTTCTTTTTTTTGTATTTTCTTTTTTTTTTCTTCATTTTTTTAATTCTTTTTTTTTTTTTTTTTTCTTTCTTTTTTCTCTTTCTCTTTTTTCATTTTTCTTTTTCTTATTTTCTCATTCTTTCTTCTTCTTTTTTTTTTGTCTTTTCTTTTCTCTTTCATCATTTTTCTCATTCTTTTTTCTCTTTCTGTATTTGTCTCATTCTTTTTCTCTTTTCTATTTGTCTCATCCATTTTCTCTTTCTTTATTTGTCTCATTTCTTTTTCTCTTTTCATTCATTTGTCTCATTTTTTTTCTCTTTCTTTTTTGTCTCATTCTTTTTTCTTTTCTTTATTTGTCTCATTCTTTTTTTGGTTTATTTGTCTCATTCTTTTTTTTTTTTGAATTAACTTATTTTTTTTTCTTTTTCTTTTTTTCTTTTTGATTTTTTCTCTTTTTTATTTTTCATTCTTTTTCTGTTTTATTTGTCTCATTCTTTTCTCTTTTTCAAATTTATTTGTCTCATTCTTTTCTCTTTCTTTTTTGTCTTTTCTTTTTTTTTTTTCTTTATTTTTCTCATTCTTTTTTTTCTTTTCTTTTTTGTCTCATTCTTAAATCTTTCATTTTTGTCTCATTCTTTTTCTCTTTCATTATTTTTCTCATTTTTTTTTTCTTTTATTTTTATCTCATTCTTTTTATTTTTTTTTTTTTTCATTTTATTTTTTTCTCTTTTTTATTTCTTTCTTCATTATTTTTCTTTTTTCTTTCTCATTCTCTTTCATTATTTGTCTCATTCTTTTTATTTCTTTTTCTTTATTTTTTCATTCTTTTTTCTTTCATTATCACATCTCATTTTTTTCTTTTCATTATTTGTCTCATTCTTTTTCTCTTTCTTTTTTGTATCATTCTTTTTTCTTTCTGTATTTGTCTCTTCTTTTCTTTTTTTATTTTTCATTCTTTTTTCTTTCTGTATTTGTTTCATTCTTTTTCTTTTTTTTTTTTTTTATTTCATTCTTTTCTCTTTCATTTTTTGTCTCATTTTTTCTCTTTCATTATTTTTCTCATTCTTTTCTCTTTCATTATTTGTCTCATTCTTTTTTCTTTTTTTTATTTTGTCATTCTCTTTTTCTCTTTCTGTATTTGTCTCATTCTTTTTTCTTTTCATTATTTCTTTCTCATTCTTTTCTCTTTCTCTTTTTTATTTTTCTCTCTTTTTTTTCAATTGTTTTTCTTATTTTTTTTTCTTTTCTCAAAATTCATTTTTATTTATTTTCATTCTTTTTTCTTTATTTTTCTCATTCTTTTCTCTTTTTTTTTCTCATTCTTTTTCTTTTCATTTTTTTTCATTCTTTTCTCTTTCATTATTTTTCTATTCTTTTTTTTTCTTTATTTTTCTTTTTCTTTTTTTTC